TTTAAAATTACATTGTTATTCCTATTTGTCCAAGTGATTGTGCCCATTACATAAAATTACATTGTTATTCGTATTTGTCCAGGTGATTGTGCCCATTACATAAAATTACATTGTTATTCGTATTTGTCCAGGTGACTGTGGTGACCCATTTAAGCCGAACTACGTAGCATACCTGTGCTGTGCTCCAGAAGACTTGACCTCTTTTGGGCGGGCTTTCCATTCCAAAATAGAAAGTTGGGGTTTTCGTATCTTTATCGCAGCCAGAGACCTGGAACTTACTGGGCCAAAGTATGACAATATGGCAAGATGGCTGGAAGAAAGGTTGGTCTTTAAGATGTCAATGTGCGTTGTTTTTTGTGACTTACAGACAGTTTATCTTGGTCTCAGGACACATTTATATTTGTGTTTCATTAAGTTTTTCTCTTTATAGATAATTGACAGATCATCCTCATCTCACATTAGACAACTCCACAAGCACACAGATCATGTCTCTACTATCTCCCTTAGTGTGTGGCGACTAAAAACACCAGTTCTCTGTTGGTTTACCATTCTTCTTTGGCTTTCTATGTAATGTTCATGTCTGGTGACACCTTTCTTTAACTTGAATTTCTTGAAGTCGTGTTGAGGTTACTGATTCACCGTCACGTCGTCTCCTGAATCATCTACTCCTCCTGCCTCCTAGGGAGCATTGCGAACATTGACCTGGCCCATTGCTTTTCCTGAGCCTCGAATAGTCCTGCCAGCTTTACAGTCTGCTCATTTATTTCGTCTTACCCCAGAACATTCATCCTGAGCCTCAAATAGTCCTGCCAGCCATACAGTCTGCTCATTTATTTCGTCTTACCCCAGAGCATTCAGGCATAAAAATTAAACTTATTTTGTCAGATAAAATCCCCTCAGAGACTCCGATCATTGTAAAGTTAGAGTAAAGCAGTTTCATATTTTTTCTGTGAGCAATAATCCCATAGCTCATCATCATCATCATCTTCTAAATCTGTGTTCCTCAGCCTGTGGCCCATGGAAATTTCCAGGTGGTCCGCCCAGTCATGTAGTGGTTACATTATTTAGGTGCTACACTTGCTGCTGAGCGAGTGAGACACTGAGCGAGTGGGACACTAAGTGAGTGAGACACTGAGCGAGTGAGACACTAAGCGAGTGAGACACTGAGCAAGTGAGACACTGAGTGAGTGAGACATTGAGCTAGTGAGACACTGAGTGAGTGAGACACTGAGTGAGTGAGACACTGAGTGAGTGAGACACTTAGCGAGTGGGACACTAAGCGAGTGGGACACTGAGTGAGTGAGACACTGAGTGAGTGAGACACTGAGCGAGTGAGACACTAAGCGAGTGAGACACTGAGTGAGTGAGACACTGAGTGAGTGAGACACTTAGCGAGTGGGATGCTGAGTGAGTGAGACACTGAGCGAATGGGACACTAAGCAAGTGAGACACTGAGTGACTGAGACACTGAGCGAGTGAGACACTGAGTGAGTGAGACACTGAGCGAGTGGGACACTGAGCGAGTGGGACACTGAGCAAGTGGGACACTGAGCGATTGAGACACTGAGTGAGTGAGACACTGAGCGATTGAGACACTGAGTGAGTGAAACACTGAGTGAGTGGGACACTGAGTGAGTGAGACACTGAGCGAGTGAGACACTGAGCGAGTGGGACACTGAGTGAGTGAGACACTGAGCGAGTGACACTGGCGCGATGCCTGTCGTGCAATGCTGGCGGGACCCGTATTAAAATTGATCGCCCGGGCAACTGCTGATCTGTTGGCGACTAGTTCTGCTATCATCAATGATGAACTACATTTCTAATGTTGGACTGTTTGTGTTAGCACTTCGGATGGCTACCATATGCGTTAATGCGAGTGTATGCTAGATATGCTGAGACAGCAGTCTGTCAATCTTTCCACAAGGGACTGTGAGAAACATTCTGGGTGTTTTTCGCTGGCACAGGAGTGGAGCAAAGATGGGGCGACCCGTTTGCTATGAAGCTGAAACTAAGACTACCAGACCAGACAGAGTGAGACACTGAGCGAGTGAGACACTGAGTGAGTGAGACACTGTGTGGAAGCAACATTCTAAGTATAGGCCAAGTCAGTAATAAAAGCCAAACAGAAAAATTGAATGGATGTTACTGCAGTACTTTGAATGTTGAATTAAGAAATAACATCACCGCACTCGGGACCATAAGTGCTCCGTCCCTATCTTCAGCAGCAAGCATAAAATGTTCTAATTCCAATGGCACCAGTAACTGTCTGATTGTATATCCGTCTCATCCTTTCCTTTCCTTGAGTGTTGAATGTTTGCCAGATCCCCTTGTAACTCGTTGCAGGGCTATTCTCCTCAGTTGAAAATGATCTATCTGCACCTCCGCACTGTTCACTCATTCCCAACGGACCCTTGCAATATCCAGCTTGTCATATGTCAGTTCACCATCAACTGATGCAGAGCCAGCCAGTCTATCTGCCTTTTCATTTCCTAACACACCGGCATTAACGCGGGAGAATATCCCAAAGATGCTAACTACACGGGACCTCTGAAGTGATGCTTGCCACTTTGCATGGAGCGTGTCTGTCTTTACCTTTCTCAACATGCTCTGTGAGTCAGTTACAATGACGGCATGTGTGTACAGCTGATTCTCAAGCCAGGGGAAGGCAGCAGAGACTGCCTCCTCCTCCATTCTCAAACTAGACATTGTGATATCATTTGCAAGGTTTTGCTGCACCAAGCGATGTCCTTTCGCCTTTGCTATGAACCCCCATGCGCTTAATCTGCCCCTCATCACAGAGTCATCTGTAAAGATAATGACATCACTTGGGCGGGAACAGTCATGATCCATTTGTTGATCTTCTGATTCTGCAGTGCCAGCTGGCCAGTCTCTGCACTCACGACCTAAAGTGATTAGAACCCCACAAAAGTCTGAAACTTGTTCGGACATCTTGACCCACTCCTCATCTCGCACAAATTTATCAAGCCTGCACACATGTCCAATTGTGTCTTCAGCTTGGGCCATGCAAACCTTCCTCTTTTCAGTCTGCAACTCTTAGCTCTACCCAGGGCTCCATGCAGATGCCTCTTGTCTGCAGCTACTCTGAAATATGACTTTGCTTGCAGAACTTTGAGCCTATCTGCAATAGTAGGCACTGCAAGTATGTATCGCACACACACTACCGGGATATCTCTTGTGCATCCCAGAATTACCCACATGACTTCATTCTGTATGCGTTCAAGTTTTATCAGCTGACTCTTTGATATGTTAAGCATTCCAAGTCCATAATCTATCACCAACAGGATCACATGCTGGAACATTGTGAACAGCATTCTTTGTTCCATGTCTGTTGCTGCCATAATCTTGAGAGCATTTAGTCCTTTTTGGCATTTCACCGCAACTGTGCTTTGACTCTCAGAAACCACCCCTGAGCCACATATATAATATTTTAAAACTTGTATGCAGCAGGTGTTGTGTTGACTACAAATTATAATTGAATTTAATACGTCCAATGCTATCTAGCATTAGTGCAGCTTTAGGCTTAGAAGTTAGTGAAATTGTTTCCCAGTCCACTTTGCAACTCATCAGGATTCCATTTCTGCGTCCCGCTGTTTAGAAAAAGACTGTTCTTGTGGCTTTCAGACAGCAGAACAAGAGTCACACTGTGGAAGAGACAGGAACCTCACCATGTAATATTCAAAACAGCAACAGCAGGCACGCTGCTCTATTTTGGAGATAGAACAATATTCACTTTTATTTCCGTTCATTTTTGTTGCTGCCCGCTGTCAGACAGTCTGTTGGAACAAAACAAAAATATTCTCCTGATTTCCCAGATTTAATGAGGAAATTTGTTCTGGATTATTTCAAATGCCTGATGGTTAATGGCCTAGAGGTTTGTCTTCTTCTTCTTCTTTATGTTCACCAGCTGTAAACTCCAGCAGATAGTTCTGTTTATTTGTCCACCTCTGCACTTTCATCTTGTTCTTAGAGCCTGTGTTACATGCACGTCTGTTTTGCAGATTTGCTTATTTGTATGCAAATTATTTGTTCCTTGTCTTTCAGGCAGCTGTAACTTTGTTTTTGAAGGGAGCTCCCAATTAGTGACTCCTACAACATGCATGTTTTGGAGGTAGAGGGTCTATACTTGTTTTCCCCACAGTGGTCCCCAGAAGCCAGATGGGGTGGCTCAGAGGTTATGGCATCTACCTCTAGCTTGAGCACACATAAAATTCATTGAAACAACTGTATGGTTCTATCCATCCGGGTTTCAATGGGGATATTTACAGTTTTTTGTCTCTTTCAGAAATGGATATTGATGCCTTTAATTATGCTTAGTTATTCAGTATTGCCTAGCCTATGTATTAAATTGTAAAACTTGTAGGAGTATAGAGTGTGAAATTCAGTATATTTTAAGTGTACTTTCAAACAGTTACAGTAATTATATTGTTTAGCCTATGGATATGTAAAGTGCTCTGGGATATCACTATTTTATCTTCAGATATATTAACATCTCATATGCCAATCCCTGTATTTATGATGTATTGTTTAACCTTTTCCTGTAGTTCTCTAGAGCCATCTACTCCCAGCATAGTTTTTGAGCATATTTGGTTCATTTCCTAGCATGTTTGAAAATGTTGGTAAATTCCACATTGCCCCACTCCACTGATCCTGGGGTAGTGGGTTGAGTACATAGTTTTTCTGGATGAAGGTGAAAGACTCAGATGACCATAATACATATTAAACATACCTCAGCAGTTGTAAACTAAGGGGAAAAGAAGCAGATTTAATAAGCTGCTACTCAGGCAGTGTGTTAAAATTAGAAGATCCATCTTAAATATTAATATTTATATTATGCATGTCTGAGTCCATGATGGTATCACAGAGATTGTGCACTGTACTATGATTCTCTTTGTGTTATCTTTGGAGGAAACTGGGTGTCACTAAAGATGGTATCAATCTTTTTTAATGACCCTGTATGATAACTATTAAATTATCACCAGGTGTAATGGAAAAATCATCGTGGTCTTGTCCAAGAACTATGAGAAATCTGACGAATGCCTCTTCCTGACCTACTTTGCCAGAACCCTGGACCCAGGTAATTGGACAGTTAAATAAATATATAAGGTACCTCGATTTAAGTCCACATTTGTGTATGTCTGACTTGGTATGCGTCCTGCCTAGATGCAAAATATTATTCTTTGTTTGGAATACAGTTACACTTGTATATGTCACACTGAGTCACAATACCATGCTCCACTCTTGTTTACCTCTCTCATTAATCAAAGAAATGTTTTCAAATGTCAACAACTTTTGTAACAGGGAGACGTCATCACTTGTTTGCAAGGAGATAGAAAAATACGCAGTGTTAGAAAAGACTAAAAAATCGACAAGTATTAGCAACCTTGACGTTCTCTTTCTAGAACCATCACTTGTTTTCTTAGCAGAGTGGTATTTTGCAAACAAATAACCTAGTTATAAAATACTACCTGATGTAATGTTGCCCTATCACAGAAGACTCTTGCCGCACTCGCTGCCTGGAAGTCCATCGAAGGACAGCTGTCAATTTAATTAGTGTATTTTAGTGTAGAGTTTCTGTTGCAATTGAAATGCAGTTAAGAGATCCACAGTGAGAACGTGGATAGCAAACGAGTTTAAGCATACAGAAATTTATAGAAGAGTAGATGCTATACATGCTAGTTAACAGTATAAATGATAAGAAATCACTTGAGTATTCTTCAGTCTACAAGACTTAGAAGAAAAAGAACTAATATTACGGACCCTCACAGACGAGAACCTTCAAGCGTCTAGACTTAAAAGCCGAGGAAGCAGTCACATGGAGCCTCACAAACAGACACTAGGGAGGAGACATGAAATGAGACATGGAATTAAGTGACAGTAGACAACATACATGGATCCATAGTAGAAACGTTACTAAGATGTTAGATTCAACAATCAAACCGCTAGTATCAGACAGCACTAGAAGTCAGGATATCATTAATGTTATTTTGTGAGATTACTAAGGTACCAAAATAAAGACAATACAAAAAAGAGCTGTTTCAAGACATTTTATTATACAAGCATCAGAGATGTAAGAAGCATGTAGCAAGCATGAAAGACCATCATCATCACCACTATTGACACGACAATCTTTCTCTTCGTCAATTTTGTTCTAATTGACTCCTCCTGTAGCAAAACAAAGACGAACCTGGGTGTGATATCAACATACACATAGAAGACAGCTGTGCTACACTTTGCCAGAGAAGTATTACACCAACAAAGCCTGCACAAGCCAAAATAGCATTGTCTGGAATGACAAGACAGTGGCCAGATTTCCTAAATGTGCTGAGAAGAAGGCAGAAGCAAAGTTGTTTAGACATACTTTTTTTTGTATAAGATAAACACTGATCCTTAAACAGGTCCAAGTAGGGAAAAGATACAGAAAACAGAACAAGAAAACAGAAGAATTTCAGATTCCTGAAGTTTTATTGGAAGGGGACTCTTTTCAAACAATAACATCTCCTCCTCCCTTCTCAGCACCATCCTCACTTGACTTTTTCAGCACTTGACTTCTCAGCACCATCCTCACTTGACTTTTTCAGCACTTGACTTCTCAGCACCATCCTCACTTGACTTTTTCAGCACTTGACTTCTCAGCACCATCCTCACTTGACTTTTTCAGCACTTGACTTCTCAGCACCATCCTCACTTGACTTTTTCAGCACTTGACTTCTCAGCACCATCCTCACTTGACTTTTTCAGCACTTGACTTCTCAGCACCATCCTCACTTGACTTTTTCAGCAACGTAAAGTGAAGTTCTGTGCTGACTGATTTTGATCTCATCTGCTCACTCCAGCAGCCTTTTTCAGACAAATCATTTTCCATCCTGCCATCCAGAATGCCCCTGAGTTGCGATGGGGTTCGAATGATCAGATAGCAGCCCAGACAGGATAAAGAGACAGACACAGTGATGAGCCATGGGAAGTAAAGGCAGCCGGCATGATGTTGACCATACCACCTACCGAGTGCTGAATGGTCTATAAAAAAAAAAGTTTAGCAACATACGCCTGATTCATCACCAGCATAAAAATGGGTCCTTTTGACAGCAAGTTACCTGTTTCCCAGGGTACAAGACAAAAAAATTATGACAGCAAGTTACCTGTTTCCCAGGGTACAAGACAAAAAAATTATGACAGCAAGTTACCTGTTTCCCAGGGTACAAGACAAAAAAATTATGACAGCAAGTTACCTGTTTCCCAGGGTACAAGACAAAAAAATTATGACAGCAAGGTACCTTTTTCCCAGGGTACAAGAGAAAAAAAATTATGACAGCAAGGTACCTTTTTCCCAGGGTAAAAGACAAAAAAATTATGACAGCAAGGTACCTTTTTCCCAGGGTACAAGACAAAAAGACTATGACAGTAAGGTACCGGTTTCCCAGGGTACAAGAGAAAAAGACTATGACAGCAAGGTACCTGTTTCCCAGGGCACAAGAGGAAAGACTATGACAGTAAGGTACCTGTTTCCCATGGTACAAGAGAAAAAGATTATGACAGTAAGGTACCTATTTCCCAAGGTACAAGAGAAAAAGATTATGACAGTGGGGTACCTATTTCCCAAGGTACAAGAGAAAAAGACTATGACAGTAAGGTACCTGTTTCCCAGGGCACAAGAGAAAAAGACTATGACAGCAAGGTACCTGTTTCCCAGGGCACAAGAGGACAGACTATGACAGTAAGGTACCTGTTTCCCAGGGTACAAGAGGAAAGACTATGACAGTAAGGTACCTGTTTCCCAGGGTACAAGAGGACAAGACTATGACAGTAAGGTACCTGTTTCCCAGGGTACAAGAGGACAGACTATGACAGTAAGGTACCTGTTTCCCAGGGTACAAGAGGACAGACTATGACAGTAAGGTACCTGTTTCCCAGGGCACAAGAGGACAGACTATGACAGTGAGGTACCTGTTTCCTAGGGTACAAGAGAAAAAGACTATGACAGCAAGGTACCTGTTTCCCAGGGCACAAGAAGACAGACTATGACAGTGAGGTACCTGTTTCCTAGGGTACAAGAGAAAAAGACTATGACAGCAAGGTACCTGTTTCCTAGGGCACAAGAGGACAGACTATGACAGTAAGGTACCTGTTTCCCATGGTACAAGAGGACAGACTATGACAGTAAGGTACCTGTTTCCCAGGGCACAAGAGGACAGACTATGACAGTGAGGTACCTGTTTCCTAGGGTACAAGAGAAAAAGACTATGACAGCAAGGTACCTGTTTCCTAGGGCACAAGAGGACAGACTATGACAGTAAGGTACCTGTTTCCCATGGTACAAGAGGACTGACTATGACAGTGAGGTACCTGTTTCCCAGGGTACAAGAGGACAGACTATAAAAGAATGAAATAATGAATGAAAGATCATAATTAATCAATAATGTATTATTTTTCCCCACAGATTCTAAAAACAGAAACATTATTCCAGTGATGATCGACAAGAATGTGACAATCCCGAATGTCCTCAAGGGATTGTCGATCATCAAGTATAATTATGACTTTCGATGTGGGTGGCTGAGGAAAAAACTGATCAACGCCATTGCTGCATGAAGAGTTGATGTAGTGAGGTACAACCTAAAATGACCACAACCTGAAATGACCACAACCTGAAATGACCACAACCTGAAATGACCACAACCTGAAATGACCACAACCTGAAATGACCACAACCTGAAATGACCACAACCTGAAATTAGCACAACCTGAAATGACACACAGACACACACACACATGCACACACAGATTATATATATATATATATATACAGACAATTCTGCTTGGTATATTAAAAGTAAAAGGCATTTTACTTAAAGTGTTGTAACAAAGGATGTGAGACTTCATCAAATGGTGTGATCATCTAGAAGAATGCAGCTAGAACTCCACAGATGACACACATAAAAAAGATATGATGTGAAAGCAAGAGGATGCCTTATCAGAATATAGATAGATGCCATTAAAGAGCTTCTAAATCGACATAGAATCACAACAGCCATTGCTGCCCATCAAGCAAATGATGGGAAACTGTTATTCCCATGATGCTTAATTGCAGAAGTGGAAACTGATGATAGTGATGAGTGCCTGTGTTATCTGTATCATGCCAGACTACAGTATCTTCCAGGAAATATTCTGGCAGCTATTTTTAGCCTGAAGAAACAGGAAAATCCTGGTCAGTCAGAAATAATCGCCACCTCACATCAGATCTGAACACATCACCACCAGGCAAGCAGACTGCTGGGCTAGCCAATAGACCAAAACCGCTGCCTGTGAACTTACAGCTCCAGAGTAAATCTGTATGCTGCCCAATAATGTATTCTTGTGAAATTAATGTAGTAGAAGATTTAGCCCAAGTTAAATTTTGTTAATACTTTTTTAATTAACTGTTGTCGTTTCACAATTTGCTGATTGATCAGTGATCTTCCCCGTGTGGGTTCTGGGGCCACATTGTGGGGAAAACAAGAATAGACCCAGTGCCTCCCCAATAAGTGAGTCCTAAGAGTCAACTAGCTGGGGGTTTCTTTCAGAGTCAGGGTGCATCTGCCTGAGAGGCAAGGAACCAACACTCTGCATACAGATAAGTGTAATTGGTAAAATGGATATGCACACAACACTCAGCTTCTGGAACAGGACTGAAGCCCAGAGGTGGACAAACAACCGGAACTTTCCGCCAGAGTGTCATAAGCATGCCGTAAGAGGTGACTAGCTAGGGGTTTCTTTCAAAGCCAGAGTGCATCTGCCTGAAAGACAAGGAACCAACAGTCTGCATACCGATAAGTCAGATTGGTTAAATGGACATGCACACAACATTCCAGTTCTGGAACAGGATTAAAGTCCAGTGGTGGACGAACAACCAGAACTTTCCGCCAGAGTTCACAGCCAGTGAACGCAAAGAAGAAGAAGAAGATCAGAGATCTATTGATTGATTATCTTATTGAATGACCAGCTGAGAATGATTTTCTTACTGATGATGGAAGCAGAAGTGGCTTAGTGGCTAGATGCTTGCCTGTCAGCCCAAAGGTCCTGGGTTTGAATTCACACCAAGTTAGATTATTTTCGGAAATGATCTTTTCGTTAGTTTGATGTAGCCTAAAATGAATACCAGGTAAAGTCCTGGGAAGTAAAGGCAGTCAGCATGATGGTAACATCACCCAACGTGTTCTGATTGGTGTATAAAATATAGGTCTAGCCCTATATGTCTGAAGGTGTGGAAAAGGTGCTTTACCCACTTACTTTAACTTATTAACTGATATTGATTGGTTTATTTATTGCTTTGTGTAGTCAGGAGGGCGGTGTAGACAGGAGGGCGGTGTAGACAGGAGGGTGGTGTAGACAGGAGGGCGGTGTAGACAGGAGGGCGGTGTAGACAGGAGGGCGGTGTAGACAGGAGGGCGGTGTAGACAGGAGGGCGGTGTAGACAGGAGGGCGGTGTAGACAGGAGGGTCATGAGTCTGAGGATTTAAAGCCTCACAGCTAGGGCTGTCACCACAGACTGTACAGGTTAGGATGTTTATTTTTGCCCCTGTCAGAAAACTCCTTACTGGGGGTTGAACTTGTGTCTTCCACTCATGAGTCCAACATTGTGACCATTCGGCCAGTTGCTTCATTTCCAGAATAGCTGTATGGTTGATCGATTAACTGATTGGTTTATTGCCTAATACTCATGGCCTGAATAACTGAGTGGATGGCTATGTAATTATCTGTTTTTGTATTAACATTGATCACTAATTTATTGATTGTTACTGATTTATTCATTAATGTTGATTAATTATATAAACTGTTGATTGATTGGGTTCACACTGGTTAATTATTTGTTATTGATGTTAATTGTTTATGTAAACTATTAATTGATTGGATCCAAAACCTAACATCATGCTGTGAAGCTCTCAGTTAGTTCCTGAACTCTGAGCCTGACCATTACTGGCCAAAGTGAGCAGCTTGATTACTGCAACACTGAACATTACAAACGTGGCCACTTTCAACATTTTAATTACTGCCATGCTGAGTATCAGAATTACTGCTACATTATAGTTACTGGAACATAGAACATTATAATTGCTGCTACATTGAACATTATAATTACTGAAACACACTGAGTGTGACCATTACTAAGGGACTGAATGTTTTGACACCATGACTTACTGAATTAGTACTATGGGATCAAGGGAGTTAATCCAAAAAATTCATCTTTTGTGATTCCCTGTGGGTTTAAGGGACCTATTTGGTCAGGAAACAGTAATAGATCCACTTTTGTGGATGACGTTTCAACTGCATGAGTGCGGTGTAATGATGTGCTTTGCGTGGTGATGACCCTGCTTAGCATGGTCTCCATGCTCACGGCAAGTCAAACAGAAAATCCGTGCGATAAAGGACCGCATGAGATACTTGGCGTTGGAAAGGTAAACAAAGGAAAGCCCGAGGTTGACTCGTGATCAGTTGTGTAACAGAGCTGAAAGATGTAGTTTAAATAAAGTGTAGTCAATGTTGAGTAAATAATAATTGTGGCATAGTTGTGGAAGTGAACAGCGATGATTGTGGTTGAATAATTGTGATGTAATAGAGACATAAACTGGCAGAATGTATATTGGAATACTTAGCACTGTTCTGCGTTGTCAGCTATTGAAAGCTGTATTTATCCCAGAGTAAACTAGCTTTAATACAAGTGAATCAGCTTCATTACAGCAGATAAAAGAGGTGTAGAAACTACACAGGCAGACATGATCATGCAAGGATCAAACATAAAAAGTACTCAGGAAAAGTAAAAAGCACTCAAAATAAAAATATAGAAATCTTATTAATGTAGAGTGTTGGCCTAGTAGTAAAGATTAGATAGTTCATGAAAGATTCTAAATACATGTTAAATAGTCCATAGTTCAGAAGAGATTCAGAAGTCCATGTTAAACTGTCCAGATATAGTCTGTAAGATACCAGTCATGTTTGACTTCTCATTCCATAAATCTTTATATTGTCTGCAAGATATGCATTTATGTTTGATTCCTCCTTCCATCCATCTTTATTTTGTCTGCAGATTTGCTTTATTTTTGGTTACTCATTCCATATATCTTTATGTGTTTTGATATTTAACAAACATGTTGATTAATGAATTTTTCAAAAGGTGTTGAGGGAGATTGTGTGCTTTTTCTATATCCTTCACAACTTATTTATCTTTTAATTTCACAATATTGATGACCTCTGCTTGCTGAGCTGATTTCTTGGGATGTGCTGCAGCGGGTTTATGAGGCAAAAGTACCACTGGTCTATGGTCTGAATCTATTAGTGCATTTTGTATGGCCCTGGAATTCTTTATTCTCCATCTCTCTCCTTCTTGTCAATGTAAACATCAGCCACCCACATGAGTTTGACAGGGATAAATTGGGGCGACGTAGACAGTCCGAGTCAGTGACCTGTAGCCACAGGGCTAAAGCACTGGGAAAAGTGCGGGTGTAGTACACACCCAGCACGAGAGTGCTGCAGTCAGAGTCCGAGAGTCAGAGCAAGAGAGAGCAAGAGAGAGAGAGAGAGACAAAGTCAGGGTCAGTGAATATCTCTCTGGAGTATAACAGACAGAGTACCGTACAACTATCAGGCTTCAAGGCCTGAGTAAGGGTTGAGGTTGCGGTACTGGTCGAAGGTATAGTCCCGCTGGCGAAGTAAGTCCAAGGGGACGGGATGCTCCAATAGTACCTGTTCTGGGTGGCGACGCGAGGAGACGTAGGGTCACTACGGAAACAGAACAGGGGAGGATGCCGACGAGAGCAGTGTGCTAGAGGGGTCTCGTGTTAGAAGTCCTGTCGGTCATCGGAGCCCTTCGACAGGCTGAGTGCTGTGTGCTTTTGGAGAACAGCAATGAAAGTCCGTCTCCAGTCAGCCGTGGTTGTCTGCTGAAATAATATTAAGGTCCAGTGGATGGGAGAATTCGTCCTGTTCAGCTGTACGGCGAGCCCAGAGTTTTGGGACGCTGTAGACCTTTTGGAGCTGTAGTGGTCAGGGAGAGGTTGCTACAAGTTGAGAGAGAGCCAGTGAGGACTAAATAGACTATGTGCGAATGTCATTTGGGATCAATGTCTACGTCTCTGCAGTTTTGTGTATGTGAGGGCTTGTGTATACTCTCTTGTGTTCTATCGAATAAATCCAGTGTATGACGGAACTATTGTCGTCGAGTTCTACTTCGAGAGTAAGGGAGCGAAAGTTATATCTATAGTAGGGCTGTACCGAATATTCGCTTTGTATTCGCTTCGGGGCCGAATAGTGGACCCAATAACTATTCGGTATTCGGCCGAATAGTTGCGGTCGGGCCGAATACGAATAGTGGTTACCTCACAACCGTTTCTGGACTGGTGGAAAAAAAACGTCAACACTTCCCATCTTGGTTTATACTGTGAAGCGTTATCTTTGTGCACCACCTACGAGCGTACCAAGTGCCCCTTTATTCCCATCTTGCATGTGTTGCGAGTATAGTGTTTTTAGGAGTGTTGCTGTAGAAACAAAATGCAACACTTAACAATGTAAGAGGGGCAGAAAAGCAAGTGTTCTAGTGTTGTCGGCTTGATTTCTTT